GGGAGACTGAGACCTTGGAAGCCCTGAAGAAGACATCAGAGAGGATGTCGAAAGCTCGGCGCCATAAAAATCAACGCGGTTCAACCCGGAAGACTGGCGAGTTTAACATTAATTTTTATATTAGTATTAATATATCCACAATATGTCTCCAATATTTTACCTCTTCTTTCGCAAAACTACATTTTAGAAGTTTTAGCCTAAATTCCCCTTTGAGAATTACTTCCATGAGTCTTTCTATGTATATGATCTAATTGTTCTTCAAATGAAAGTGAAAATCAAACAATAAACCGCTGAAAACTCTCGTTTTCAATACATTTTTTATATTCAATTATAATAAAAACAAATTTTTATTATAATTAATTAATATCTACATACATACTTTTCTTATGCTACAATTTCAAAGACTGGCCTATTCTATATTAGTCTAGCAAATAAAACTAGCGTATATGAAAACCGTCTGAGTTTCTGAGCTGTCGATACAGTCTCCCTTTTTGGTTAACATCGGCGGATTCCCACCACAATCTCAATGAAGTTAGCTATTACCATCTTGATGCAATAGAGCAGCTTCCGCCAAGGCGTTTAGTTATTTAGTAGCAACGCAGGAAGGATCGGCTCCAAAGGGGATGCATATGTTTCTTTAAAAAGCTTTTAAAACTTGTGCCTGCTTTGATATTATCATAAATGAAATAGAAAAATGGTTGATTTTTATCAGATTCAGATTCAAGATTCATTTAACTACGTTTACAAATTTTACATTTGTTTGTAGCAAGTCAATTATATGTATAAGTAAAAAAGATAATATATAACATGCACAAAATACAATAGGAGATGAAAATACATTAATGCGCATAACATAAAATAAAACATAAAATATACGAAATAATACATATACCAACATAGTGAGCCCATGTTCATGTCACTGCCTTGAAGTGATCAAAATATTCACTAACAGAGTAAAAAGCAAATCTCAAAAGGTTTTTTTTGAGACTTAGGTACTTTAAATTTATTCATCGAAAGTTGCTTTAAATCCTTACGTAGGACATTGTATATATTATAGTCAATTGAATTTTTTTGTGATTTACTTAAACGATACTTAACTAACTTACTGAATGTTTAATTACAGTGTCAGCGTTTCATATGGCACGTGAAAAAAAAAGAAGTTGATAACTTTAAGTTAATTATATCAATTACACAAGAAATTTTATACTTCCTTGTAAATTTTTAAACTATGGGAATAATACCTCAGGGACTTATCCCCTTATAAGGATTAGAAGGCTCGAAAAAAAATTAAAGAAATCTAGAAGATCTTCTAGGAAGGCGTAGTGGGAAAGAATCTACCTACTTTTAGATTGAATATTACAAAAGATACATTTACAAATATAACAAATATAAATACAAACGTTTTTATTATAACAATAATGCTTGGTTACAATATGGACTACTTGTTAACTCGTTGACAAACTTGTCTGTTATGTCGATAAGCAGCTCAAAATGTCCACGCTGCTATGATTAATTGAATTATATGTAACCGTTTTATAAGTAAATAAATAGTTATGTTTTGTTAGTCTGTGTTAGGTCAGTGGCGCACAGTGGGGGTTAAAACCCTCCCCAGGACCCTATTCCGACACTGTTATTCACAAATTTTAAGGACTTAAAATGGTGGAGGTAGCATAAAAAAATTTTGGTGCGCAACCAAACCCCCCCCCAGAGCAAAATTCTAGGTGCGCTACTGACACAGGTAGTGCTAATCCGTAACACGTTTTTATTTTCACAAAAAACATTTTGTTTTCAAGAGAAACAAACTGTTTGCGCAAACCATACTGCAATCAGTTTTATTAAAGATGTCGACAGATAACGACGAAATTGCACTAGTTTTCTGGCAGTGGTTCCTCCTACAAGACGAAAAAACAAAATATCGCTGTTTCCACATGTGCTGCTTGTTGACTATTCGAGCGGTTTCAAAAAGGGAATTCCAAAAACACGTTGCGCCTGCGTACATTGAAATGTTTCGAGACAAAACGACGATCAGGTAATCAACATCAAACAGACTGACTGAAACTAAATGAGCCTAAACATGCTTTAGACACACGACTAATCAGTGTGCGTCAGCTCATTTCATTTATATGAAAACATCAGCATCAAACTCGTTTAGTCAAAAACGTTTTTGACTAAAACAGATTTGCTCTTTCTGTGTGCGGCCACCCTAACAAACAACCGACTAGTGAGAAACAGGTGTTTATAAACAATATATTAGCACATTAGTTAGAAACTTTAAAATTTGTATTTTAATTGTTTTTTTGTAGGCTTTAAAATGACAAATCAAACGTTTCTCTTCTTTAAGGAAAAAGAGCAAAAGCCAACAAACTCGTTAAACTTTAAATTAATGTTTGTACACAAATA